ACCATGGTGGGTCTAGGAGGGTCTTCATACTTCAGTAGACTCTCCACAAGGTCCTTAATCAGCTCTGATGCCACTTGTTAGAGACTAAGGACGAAGTCTACGAAGATTAGGTGCCTAAAATTCTCAAAATCGTTGGCTTAGAATTCTGGACAGAAAAGACGCGTTCACAAGAAACGCCGTCGACGAAACGTTCATAGTCAAGACTTCATCAAACTCAGATATGTTGTAGCTCAACTCCGTGGCTACAATTTCCAAGTTGAATCATACAAAACAGTGAAGGATTTCTTGAGTTATCAATTTCGGCGCACTAGGGGGTATGCTGCCATTGGATCTTAACTCAATCACAAAGTTCTCATAATTGCACAATCACTACACAAGAGAGTAAGAGTGGCAATAAACCAGGTGGGATGGGATGAGGAGGACGAGAGGGAAAGTCCCAAGAGAGTCCCCAACCAAGGAAACCCCATGCCACACAATTCCGTTCCCCATAGGCAACCCAACTTTGACCTTTGTCACTATCCCAACCTCCACAATTCACCTCAACCCAACTTGGCCACACTTGCCAACCTGGTTTGGTTTCTCCCAACCATTTGGCAGCAACTACAGTAGAAAATACGAATTTCCCAACCCCCAAAAGTCTGTACCCCATATTGAGTCAGCCCCACAACTTCCCACAATTGCCACAATCAAATATGAAAAGCATACGAACTCCAACGTTCGTAACTTTCTTGTTCGTGCTCCGATTGAAGTGATACTTGGTTCGTCGGAAAGCTCTTGAGGAGAGGAATCACTTCAGATATCTGCTCAAGCCAAATAACATTCACACACACTCAGAAAATCCAAACCGCACAAAACACAAATTCTTGCAAACGCTCACACCACGCATGCAGCGCACGAACACATGATGGGAGGCAGACAGACGTGAATGCATATGATTGCATCACACAACAGCAATTCTTCTTCTTCTCACACTATAATCTCATGTTTGGGTGGATACCCTAAAACTTGTTCTTATCACATGCTCGTTCTTTTTGTTTCTTCTTTCATAATATCAATCTACATCAATACTCACTTCCCTTTTCCCCTTTCCTTTTCTGTTTTCTGTTTTCTGTTTTTTCCTTTTCTGTTTTCCCCTTTTTATTTTGTATCAGAGATTTTCATATGCATATTCTATTTTTGTCTTTATTGTCTGTGCACTAAGCTTTTGTGTGTAAATGCGTATGATATTTGTATTTTTGTTTGTATGTATCCGTGTGTGTATGTGTGTGTGTTGTGTATGAGTGTAAATGCAAGCATACCCATTGCAATAACAATGCATGTATCTGGGTTTTGAAAAGGGGGCTCACGACTTATCATTCCACAGAAGGTTCTTTAGAGCGCTTATCGGGGGCCCACCTGTACTGGATTGACAATCCTTTTAGAGGTCACAGATTGTCTTGTTTCATGTTATTGCTAATTATTCAAGGACTATGCTATTGACTTCCTTCCCCTCCCCCCCTCATGCTAGGTTGGGGATGCAGTAGTACAGTATTTTAGGTCATAAGCTGTTATGCATTATCCATATTTAAACTTATATATATATATATTTGCCAACTCTATCGTAAAGAGCTGCTTCACAACCCAAAAAGTGATGTAAGAGATGATATGCTTGTAATGCACAACTTCCTTGGGGGCTTGCACCAAGTCACTTCTGTGCTACCATTGGAAGTTGCAACACTTGGAGCCTAGATTTCACCGCAAGTTAGAGCTCGAGAACCATTGGGCTAGTGTGGAGTTTATCAAGGAGGGCTTGCCGACTTTCTAAAAGTTCAGCCTGATCCGTTGTCCGAGTCTCACGCCGCTACTACAAGGTGAATGCGCAATGTGGAAGTGATTTTCATAGAGTGAGAAACTGAATGAGCCAACTTGTGATGATTGAGGATCGAGTTCAGAAAGGTAGAATGAAATTGATTGATTCACCTGGGTACAGCATGAGGCTATACATAGTCTCGGCTCAAGGCCAGTTACCCAGATGTTATGCGAATGTTTGAAGGGTCGTGAAGCGTCCCGAACAAATTATTTTTGAATTCGGCAGAAGGCAATTCGGTGGCAACCGAAAGGCTTGTAATTCGGTACACCCAACTTGCTTCGGTGCTATAACAATAATAAAATATAGGAATGCACCTAACCTAGGAAATCAAGCATAAGCATGCATGAGAAGATAAACCTAAGCTATAAATAGCATAATAAAGTCAAGGCAAGCTAGCATAAGCCGTTGTACTCTCACACGTCCCCCCCTCAAAGTGACGAAAAGTGAGAATGGAATGAATGAACTATGAAACAGTTGGGTACAAGTACTAACCCTAATTGGGTTGTACCCCTTATGGGCTACCCCACTACAGCCTACACAAATGTATAAGCTATAATGTTCTGACACACCCCCATAGGCAAAGTGGGGGAGAACAAGTGGTCACAAGACCAGTCAAGCAAAGCAAGCTCAGGGTGGATCACAAAGTCACCACACAGTCCGAGCACAAGAGTAAGGCCACAAGGCCAGTTCACATGCAACGTCATATATATAAAGGTAAAACAAGCAAGGGCAGGTATAGAAGGAATACAGTACAAACAAGATCAAGAGGTGAGCAAGTGAGGCGAGGTAGGCACAAGACCTAGCACAATACAAAGACATACACGAGGATGTAGAACGGCAGCAAGGAAGTGTCGGTGCGCAGAAACAGCGATGGGTCGGCTGTAGAAGGAGCAAACCCAAGAGCCGCAAGTGTAGTCCTCAGTGTGTCGTGCCACTCACGGGGCGCCTGGCAGAGACCGTAGACTGGCCGCCGGAGGCTCCACTGGGTACCAGGAGGAAACGACCCAGTGAAGCCAGGAGGGCGGCGCAGCCAGATCTCCTCGTGCAGGCTGCCCTGAAGGAAAGCTGTGCTGGAGTCAAGAGAGTGAAGCTCGTAGTCGCGCTGAGCGGCTATGTGCAGCAGCACCCGAAGAGTGGTAATCTTCGGGGTGGGAGAGAAGGTCTGAAAGTAGTCAACTCCCTGCCGCTGTCTGAAGCCTCGAGCCACGTAACGCGCCTTGAAGACAGGCGGAGAGCCCGGCGGCCGCTTTACCCTGAAAATCCACATCCCACTGACGATGTTTGCCCCAGGTGGGGGAACCTCGTCGACGTAGGTGTCTGTGGACTTCCAGGAAGCCATCTCTGCGTCCATGGCCGAGTGCCACTGAGAGGAGTAGGGACCCTTGATCGCCTTAGCGTACGATCGAGGAGTCAGGATGTCTGGTGCATCCGGGTCTCCCTCAGGGGCAATCGGCGTGGACACGAGATGGGGCAAAGCAGCCGCAAAGCACTTGAACTCCTCCTGCCTGTCCTCAAGGACGTCCGTGCTAAGAGCACACTCACCCCCGATGGACGGAGGACAGACAGACTCAGACTCAGCAACGAGACTAGCAGCATAGTCTAGACGACAGCGAGCAGCGAAGTCGACGAGCTTAGCAACTAGAGCAGACACAGCAGAGGACTCAAAGGAAGGGTCAGTGACAACAGTAGCAAAAAGGCGCGTGACCGAAGGACTAGCAGCACGAAGGGATTCAGACTCCGTGTCAGCAAGAGAAGGAAGAGAGGACTCTGGAGGAGACGGCAGAGGGACACGCAGAGGAGCAGTGGAAGGACGCAGTGCCTTCTGGTGTGTGCCAGGGACCGCAAGATGTCGCGGACGCATAGCACGACGACTAGTGCGAGCAGCACGAACAAGCGATGCACGATGAGACGCAGGCTCACGACGCTCAGCAAGACCTCTAGTAGGACTAGTGTAGGGAGAAGGAGCAGGTAGCGGGGAGGCAGGCTGTAACTGTGACTGCGACTGGACTGGCTGCGAACACTCTAAGAGAGGAGCAGGACCAGGAGAGGGCGGGAGACCAAGAACCTGCTCCAGGAGAGGAACGAAGTACGACCTCGGCCGCTCAGCGCCTCCAGAACCAGCAAGGACGGCACCACTACCTCCAGCGGGAGCACCAGTGCCAGCAGAACCTCCAGCTCCAACAGCTCCAACTCTAGTACCCTTAGAAGCACTAGCGCTAGTAGCACCGCAAGCGCCAACACCCCCAGCAGCTCCAGCTCCAGCAGCACCAGCTCCATTAGAACCGCCAGCTCCACTAGCCTCAGCAGCGCCCCCAGACGCACCAGCACCAGTAGAAATACCAGCGCCAACACCTCCAGCAGCTCCACATCCAACAACACTTGCACCGACAGCAGCTCCAGTAGCTCCAGTAGTACCCCCAGACTCAGCAGCACGTCTCCAGCGGCGGGCGAACCACTCGCGCAGCTCCTAAGGAGAGAGCGGCTCCCGCCTCGACGAAGCACCGCCGGCGGCCACACGAGCAGACCCAGCACCCCCAGGCTCAGCACCCCCAGGCTTAGTACCCCAAGGCTCAGAATCCCCAGACTCAGCACCCCCAGGCTCAGCACCCCAAGTCTCAGCACCCCCACCACGGGCGAACAGCTTGTCCGCAGACAAGTCGCGGACAAACGCCCGAGATCCCCAGACCCGAAACGCACACGCATCACCAACCTTCCCTGTCCACCGCAAGGCAGGGGAGATCTCTGGCAAGGAGACCCGGGGCTGAAGGTTGAGCTGATGCGCGGCGTACTGAACCGCAAACGGCCACAGCAAATGGGGGGCAGCCACATGTATTATGGATGTACGAGTGACGTCCATGACCATGCCAATGCGGCGCTAAGCATTCCCATTTTGCGGTGGAGAGGCCGGAAGCATGAAGGTCTGGCGGATGCCCTGTGCACGAGTGCAGACGCAGACGGGTAGAGGAAAACTCCCCGCCTCTGTCCGAGTGCAGACGCAGAACAGGAAAGTCCGAGTTGGAACTCTCTCTGAGCTGGAGACGAGCTGCGCGGATCCAGTCGATCAACACCTCTATGACGTCACCCTTGCTGCGCAAGGGGAAGACTGTGGTGTAATGCGAGTAGTCGTCAACGACCAGCAGAAAGTACCGCTCTAGTACCTAGAGCAGACAAGTTGCGGACAAGTCGTAGACAAGTCGCGGACAAACGCACTAGTAACTAGAGCAGCAGCCTCACCAGCATCTAGCGCAGCAGCCTCAATGCCCGGGTCATGCGGTACACACAGGTAACAGGCACCCTCAACACTATCAGCAACAGCATACATGGCAGCAAGAATAGCATCAAAGTCAAGATCAAAGATACCAACCCCGGCCTTAGCCAGATCTCCCCAGCGAGGGATCTCTGACGCCTCAGAGAAGTGGCGATGCCACGCGTCCGTCACGCGACCAAAGCAGCGCTGGGTGGAGTGCGGGCCTCCGCAGTGCTCACCAGTGCAGTCACCGGTACGGAGGACGTAAGAGCAGGGACCAAAACCCCCACCGCACTGGCGCGCAGTGTACCACTCACGAAGCTGCTGAAGGGACAGGGTCACACCACTCCGCTGCTGCTGCTGGCGCTGACCACCACCGGTGCCACTCCTCTGCGCAGAGTCGCGACTCGCTCCATCACCGCCGCCTCCACCGCCGCCGCCACCTCCGCCGCTTTCGCCGGCTCCTCCACCTCTGCCTCCTCCACTACCTCCGCCTCCTCCGCTCCCTCCACCACCTCCACCGCCTCCGCTGCCTCCACTGCTGCCGACGCCGCCGCCACCCCCGGCACCACTCCCACCACCACCCCCACTCCCTCCACCGCCTCCACCACCACCTCCACCGCCCCCTCCAGCCCCTCCAGTGCCCTTGTCCCCCTTGCCCTTGCCGGTGCGGCGTCTCCCGCTCGGGGCATACGCAGCGCTGACCGACTCGAAACCAACGAGGTCGGCCGCAGCAGCAGAGGCAACAGAGGGCAAGAGGGGGGAGGGAGAACACCCCTTAAAGACGGGGGTGCGAGGGTCACCACGAGAGGCTCCTACAGCGACTATGCTCTTCTCTATCGCTAGGAGGGCCTTCTCGAGGAGGTCAACGGTGAGAGTGGTGGGGCAAACAGAGAGGAAGTGGTCCCTGACTACGCGAAGAGAGTCAGGGAGCCGGGTGACTATGTAGTAGAGGGTGATGTACATTGGGGGGGGGGGGGGGGGGGGGGGTTCTTGGCGCAGAACTCAGCAGGAAGCGCAGCGCGGTAGCGAGTGTCACTAGTGCGGAGGTGCGTAATGAGGTCAGCGACAGTGGGAAAGGCAGCAAGGTCAGGGGAGAGGTACGGTAGCATGAGGCGGCTCAGTGCAGCAGTGGCAGGGGAAGAGTAGCGTGCAACTACAGCGTCGTACAAGGTTTGAGCACTCTTGTACTGGCTAAAGTGTGCACGCTCAGTGGTCGGTAAGTGGCGGCGCACACCAAGGCGAGCAGGAGCATCACGTGTGGCCCACTGTGAGCGAACAGTGGCGTCAGCATCAGTAGCAGGGGCAGGGGAGGCACCAGAAGTGAGGTCAAACAGGGAGAGGCCGTCTGCCCTATCGCACTGCAGCTAAGGGGTACCGTTGGATTCGGTGGGGCCCACTGATTCGGTGGGCAAAAGAGTACCGTTGGATCAACAGTAACCAGCAGTAGATACTTAAGCAAGTAGGCAAAGTAGGAGCCTTGCTTGCGTGTTTGCTTTCACACTATGCTTAAACTTCCTTCTATCACCACGGGTAAGTAAGCAGGAGAAGCCAACCATCACAAGCACTTGCTTCCGTGTAGCCTACTTGAGATCCAGTCAGCCAAGGTAGGGTTGTCTCTTCAGTAGGAGTTACAGACACCAAGCTTATTATAAACCCGCAAGGGATATTGTAGATGAATATTAGGGACCTACTGCGAACGCAAATGTGGGACGTCACCAAAGAATTGAAGCCTACAGCTGGGTGGCGAGCGCACGTTGGCACTGCAGGCAAGAAGCCTGCTCCCTCGCGACCAACCTCATATTCACCAAAATACCGAACCCCCCATCAGCGAACTCGGGCGATAGAGTATAAGGACCGAGATCGTAGCGCCGCATCAGACTCGGGGGATACACCTCGAAAGGCTCAATGGGTTGAAGAAGTACGGGCCCGGTGGCGGAATCAAGAAGTAGTAACTCCGCTGATCGGGATGCCGGGAATGACGGTAAAGGAAGATAAACCCGACGCGCAATGGGCACCGACAGCAGGACAGTTCGCCGGCATGCCGATGAAAGGTGCGATGGTGGTGAGTGGAGCTGCTCAGCTACACGAAGACCAAAGTGAGAATCCTGCGCCCCAAGAGTGGCGCACGAGAGCGATTTTTTTTTTTTTTTTTTGGTAGGTGAAATATGCACTATACACGTAAAATGCAAAAACACCGCGGTTGTAACCGTAGCTATAGGTCATAGGTAGTGTATACCATACCTTCTCATATTTCTAAGGAGGCTTATAAACCAGACGCCTAAGAATTTCAACTTGCCCGCCACACAAACCCCTATTGTACTATTGTCATACTGCAGCACTAGCTGAAACATCTCAATACATTGTTCCTCATGTTGGTTGTGCTGCTTCAGCTTTGGTGGTTTGGCTCCTCCGAGCCTGCCTTGCCGAGACTGGTGAGGTTGGTTTGCAACAGGCGCAGCCCTAGTTGTACCAGACGATGACCTGGTTCTCAATCATTGGCGAACACTTCCAACCACCTTGGTGATCTGGTGACTCCGTGGGCCCTGCACGAAACTTGGAGTACCTTGTGCAGCTTTTGTTTCTGCTCTATCCGTCTCTCCACACAGCCCAACTCCTCCATGGCGTCAAGATGTCGAGAAGCTCTTGTCAGGATCTTGTAGTTGGTAAAATTCTTCTTGAAGCTGATGTGTCTCATTGTTTTCCGGCATTGCTTGCCATTCCTTTGTCCACGAGGTTATAATAAGAGTCTTCACCATCTAATGATTGGGTAGAAAAAAGGCCTTCATTCTGAAAATCCCTTGGAAGAAAAACGTCTTCTTCTTCAAATACTTTGGTAGCCATAGCTGAATTCAATCTCGTTTCACATATCAGTTGTTGATGCGTCGTCAAAAATGGCAAAGAGCAGGTCGTCATGAGTCGCTGATCCACCCATTGGTGAGGTGCAATTGATCCGGCATAAACTGGTCAGGGAAAGCGACTAATTTGCCGAAAGTGGAAGTGGCGGAACGCGCATTCGCAGAGTGGGAGCGAGTTTGAAAAATTACCTCATGCAGCTCAAAACGGTCCTGTGCTGTTGGGAAAGAGATGGCTACGACCCAGCTGAGTTATTCCGAAAGATGGTGGGAACCCTCGAGGGAGAAGCAAAGACGTTTTTTTGGCTGGTGTGGGATGATGTTTTGGAAGAACTGGCGGAAGGAGAAGTTTCAAACCCCATGGCGAGGTTCATACAGTTGCTGCGGAAGGAGTTTTTCGGGCAAACGAAGGCTCAGGTGGAAGAGTTTCGGGAATTCCACAGTAAGAAAGACGAGTCCCTACTAGCGTAGTACTGCAGACTCCGAGAGCTGGCAGAGGATCTGGAGAGTACAGATGAGTGGCTGCTAGTGAGGAAATTCGTACGGAGACTGGAAGACGAGCTGCGGGGAGTTGTACGGAGCACCGTGTATGGCATCGGTGCAGATATTATGCTTAAGGAAGTGTATCAATTAACGAAGAAGACGGAACATGCGCAATGCCTGTTGGATTTGGAGGACACCGAAAGTCGTAGCCGGACAAAGACGAGCTGGACGAAGGCTCCAGTCTGCGAGCAGTGCGGAAAACGGGGACAACGGAAGGAGGACTGCTATAGCCGAACGAGAGAGCAGCTGGGGGCAACAAGAGAAGAACTACAGGAGGTCAAACGGATGCAGCTACGACTGGAGCAGATGCCTACTTCTAAGGATCTGAGGTACCGGGCACTGCTTGCGTACAAAGAGATTGAAGGAGAGGAAGAGGGGGAGGAGGACTAAAGGAGAGAATATGCAGTGATGGCGTACCCCCGGGAGAGAGACGATATCCACCTGAGCCCAAGAGCAAGCCAATCACAAGATAGCGATGCCACCAGCGAACCCAGCCAAAGGAGCAGTCAGCGGGAAAGAACTTCACACCCCGAGATGCGGAGGCACCCAAACAAACGGCTCGTATGCCAAGCGTCGGTGTTAATAGCGGAGAAAGGGAGCATCATGGCGGGTGGATTGTCAGTGAAACAAGCTATTATCCGGGGGCACACCATGTGCTGATCGGGAAAGGGCTCGCGAAGCAGTTCAAGCTAGACCTGCCCGGATAGACTGTGGAGTGAATGATATTACTAATAACAACGGAGGGAGGGGCACCCAAGTGGATGCCGGTGGAGATGGTGCTCCTGCCAGGGACCGAGAAGGAATGCTGCATCCAATTGCAATGCGGCATATTGGAGTCGGAATATTATGACATACTTTTTTTTTTTTTGTTGTAACTATATTATCAAACATAGATACATCCGCAGTCGTAACTGTATACTTAGAGGGCCTATGCTACACCGCAATGAGGTGTCGCATGTCCCCCCATAGCACCAGATGGACAGAAACTGACCTGACCAGCTTGCAAGACCATCCACGTTGCAGATTCCCTGCAGTTGCTCCCTCTCATCCTTTGCCACATGTCGCCATTTATCTGTTCGTATATCACAATCCACCTCACCCGTGGCCTTGCCTCTCCCACATGTTGCCAGCACCACCCTCGCATGCGTCATAAAATCCAGCACCGCATCGCGACCCACTTTCTTCCGCTCGAAAGCTTCAGCCCTCCAAACTGCATTACATCTTGCCAGCCAAATTTGTCGTAACACCGCCGCCGTCAACGTAATCTCTGGAAAAACCTGACGCTGTCCCCCCTTCTCCAAACAGAAGGTCACCCAGCGAGTCCACTTGTCTGACCGGGTTCAGCATGCGCAACGAGCGCTTAAGCGCGCCAATTACTGGCTGAATGGCCGGGCAACTGTAGAGACAGCCGGCTAGGGTTTCCTCCTCCCCACAGTGCGCGCAGCTGATCCGGTTCTGAAAGAAGTCCAACCTTCCCCCCACCTGGAGGTTCTTGCTGTGTATCCGGAGCAACACATCCCTCGCTTTGAGTGGGACACTGATTGAATCCCGCGTATTGATGGCCCTTTTCCAGTCAATCCTCTTGCCCCACTCTTCTTCCCACTCCGCCTGCCTCCATGAACGCCCCGCCAATTTGGTGAGCGTCACCCGTATCTTACGCAGAGGCGCCAGTCCTCCCTCTTCGAACAGCCCACAACAGGACAACAGTTTAGCCTTTGGGTCACCCGTCTGCCCTAGCAGCCTCCCCTTCTGGACGATTAACGGCTGCAGGCGGCATGCTTCGAAGCAGGTCTCCCTGTTCCTTGCCGGGCGAGAAGCATCCCGTTATCACCGATTACCATGTACGAGGCAAGAACTCCCCCCTTGTCTATGCCCTTCACTGCCCATGGGGGGCCCGCAGGTTCACCCCGAAGGATGTACTTCACCACCCCTGACACCGCCACCACTTCCTCTGGTGTCACCGGCTCCTCAACCAGCTTTTTCCACCCCGGCGGCGTTGCCGCATACGCTTTGCGTGCCATGACCGCCGCCTCCTTGGATCCCAACTCCGAAGTTAGTATCGCTTCTTCCTTCAGCACCCTTCTTCCCCTCAAGCCGTCGGTAAGCAAGTTGCGTATCTGCGTGCAGAGGAGATCCTCCATGCCCAACTGGTGCCCAAAAGGGCTATTTCCTCTGTGCATGATGTACCGGTTGAAACAGATGAACTGCCCCTCCACCTCCCATCTGCTCGCAGGTTCCGGCAGGGACGCAAGGGGCGACTTCCAGAAGACTTTGACCGCCGCCTTCCATCTCTCACTCGCTTGTTGCCATCGTTTAATCGCAGACAGGTGTGCATGAAGCGTCACCCACCCTTTTGGGAAACTCGCCGCCTTTTCCACCAACCATCGTCGCGCTCCATCCTGTTCCCTCAGCACTTTGCCAATTCTGCGGATTGCCAACCCGTCGAGATAGAGTTTTGGGTCGAGTTGGCCCAATCCCCCATCCTGTCGCGGAAGACATGCCAGGTATGCACTCCAGAGAATGAAAACCTTTTCCTCCACGGCCTCCCCAGCTGAGACAAAGGCAAAGCAGAGCTTTCTTATCTTCTCCCATAGCTCGTCTGACGGCGAATACACCTGCGCCTGAAACATTAATACCGGGAGGACATAGCAGCTGATAACCACTACCCTCGCCATCGTCGTGAGGTACTGCGACTCCCATTTTTTAAGCTCCTCTTTTATCCTCTCATAAGCCCTCTCCTAGGATGGACCAGCGTTACCAATTGGCGCTATCCATACACCCAGGAGGCGTTCCAGCTCGCCCCTCTCTGACCACTTGTACGGTATGCCTGTCGGCGCCATGGTTCCTCTGTTACACCCCAACGGTAACACCACGGACTTGTTGCAATTCACTTTCAACCCTGACTGCTTGCCGAAAGTGTCTAACACCCCCACCACCTTCCGCAGCTGTTCCTCCCCTTCTAGCAGGAAAGACGTGTCGTCCGCATATCCCATGTAGGAGATTGGTGTCTCTCCAGGCGGGCCCACTCCCAAGCCTCTGCGCAGCGTCTCTCTGCAAAGCGGCTCCAGGGCGCATAGGAACAGGTAAGGCGCCAGGGGGCACCCCTGCCTGACCCCTCTGTCCATTTCCACTTTGTCGCTTAGCCATCCGTTGACAATCGCCCTTGTTCCTGCTCCTGCATGTAGGCCCTTGGTCCAGCCGATGAACCTATCCGGGTTTCCAAGCTCCTTCATAACCTTGAACAAGAAGTCCCGCGATACTGTGTCATACGCCTTCTGGAAGTCGACGAGCAGCAGTAGCCAGTCTTTACCGCCACTGTTCGCCACCTCCACCACGTCCGCAACCACTGACACTGCGTCAGCCAAGCTCTTTCCAGGTAAGAACCCATGTTGCTCCTTAGACAGCACCTTGCCCAGCACCTTCTTAAGCCTTGAAGCCATGATTTTGGTGACGAGCTTGTACATGACCGACAGTAGAGTGATAGGCCGGTAGTTACCCAGATTGTCCATCGTTCCTTTTTTATGCAGCAGCACCGTTACAGCAGTTGATATTCCTTTCGACATCTTCGCCATTTCCGTGAACCCTCTAATGAACTCCATCACGTGTTCCTTGAGCAGATCCCAGTGCAGGATGAAATACTCCGCTGGGAGACCGTCTTGCCCAGGGGACTTCCCCTTCGGCAGGCTCTCCAAGCCCTCTTTGACCTCCGCTCATGTCCAGTTAGCGCCTAGCATGTCTGCATCTGTGGGCGACATCCTCGCCCCTTCCGAGAACCTTACCCAATCCACTTCTTCCTCTGGCACCACCTCCCTGAAGGCAGTCCTACAGTGATTTGCCGCCGCTCTCAACATCTCCTTGGTCCCTCAGAAAGTCCTTCCCCCATGCGAGATCTCTTGTATCGACGTTTGTTTTTTCCGCATCTTGATCTTCGCCGACAGGTAGGGTGACGGGACCTCCCCGTTCAGCTCCACCCGGATGCCCGCCAGCACCTGCTATCTGTCTTTGCTGCTCCACAAGTAGGCCTCCAAGTGCGCCTCCTTACAGACCAGCCTGTTATGCGCCCTTTTGTCACCCGGATGTCGCATCACCTTGTGCCGAAGGAACTCGACCACCCGCTCAAGATGAATAACTGTTGCTTTCACCCTCTTTCTTTCCTCTCTTGTATACTCCCTAAGGCCGACACTGAGTAGCTTCAGCTTCTTCCCTAGGTCGACCCCTTCCTCTTTTTCCAGCTTCCTCAGGATGTTTGCAGTCACAGTACTAACTCCTCTCCGTTGTGCTTGTTTTGCCTGCATCCTCCACAGACCCGGACCCTGATCTACCGGCGTGGCGACCGCCAGCCCAACCTTTATCGCAAATCAATGATCGGTCAGACTCCTTGGTAACTTTACGTGCTTTGCTTCTGAGACCAGTCCCCTGTCGATTCGCGTGCTCGCCCCTGTCGCCCTGTCCCGGAAGGTGTATTCCGGTCTGGTTGGATGCAGCGCTCGGAAGGCATCCCTGAGGTCCGCCGTCCGCCAGAAGCTTAGAAGCCTCTGATTCTCGTTGCCTGAGCCTGTCCGTGATGTCCGGTCCAGGTCCGGATCCTCTACCAAGTTCAGATCCCCCAACACTACTAGGTGATTTGACGACGGCTGTACATCGACGAACTGCGCAAGACAGCTCCGAAAGAACACCCCCCTGGCACATGCTTGCGCGGGAAGGTACATCGCCACCAGTCTGAAGGAGATATGTGCGTACTCCACTGTGACCAATACCAGTCTCCCCGATTGGTGAGTGATAACGTCTGTGAGTTTGATCAGTTCATTGAAGGCTAATACCGTGACCCCACCTGCTCTTTCACTGTTCCCCACCACCGCCGCTGATGACGGTTTCAGCTGGGTCCAGAAATTGTGATCTTCTCCTATCCTTGTGTCTGTGAGCACCACGACATCTGCCGCTGTTTTAATCCAGTGTGCGTGCTCCGTTCTTTTGCTGTTGCTTCCAAGGCCGTTGACATTGACCTCGCACTGTGTGAGGTTGCGGTTGTTATCCATTAATCCACTGGTAAAAGACCCCCTCGCATCCACGGGGTTGATACAGAGGCACCACTTCTACCAACAACTGCACTTGCGTAACAGGTACCGCACCACACTCCCTCCGTACCCATCCTTTATTGTTCCACCATACTTCACCACTTCTGGCATTATTTTCTGGGAACGCACACTTCGCTTCTGTAGACCAAACTCCATTATGACGTACTTGTGGGGATGGAGCTTTTATACCGCGTAGGAGCCACCATTTGTACCTGGCAGGAGAAGGTTTTCTATCGAGTACAGTATTGGGACACGGAGAGCTCCGTGGGCAAGTTGCCGGTGCGGTTCGTAAGGCAGAAGCCACGAGAAGCATATCAAGCCCGGAAACAGGACCTATCAGAAGAGCTAGACGAGTGGCTGTGGGAGAGGTATGGAGAAGAGTATGAGAGGAGGGTCGAGCGGCTGACAGCCGGACAGGAGCCTCCACCACTAACAGAGCGGGTCAGCCGAGTGTGGACCTTGGAGGGATCCATCTGCATCGTTGAACTATATGGGGGAATCGGCAGCGGCTTGGCGGCAGCGCTGCGGGCGGGCTGCCCCGTAAAGAAATGGATTCACGTCGAACGTGACCCACTGGTGCGAAAGATGGCGCAGCATCATGCACTGTTGCTAGCCGAGGAATATCCAAACTAGCTGTGGGAGACCGCCATTCCGCCGGAATCAGAAGGGTGTTTACACGATGTCCGAGACATCACGGAATGGGTGTTAGATGAATGGGGGCAGGTGGACGTGGTGATAGCAGGATGGCAATGTCAAGGGTATTCCCGGGCAGGAGAAGGGAGGGGAATGGAAGATGCGAGGGAAGCGTCATTTCGGGACCTCAAGCGGGTCTTGGATATAATATAGAAGCGACAAGGCGAGGTCCTGTATATTCAAGAAAATGGAGACTTAGCCGAGGATCGACAAGAGCCGGTGAAGCGAGAGTTTGCGGAGATAACAGAGGTGCTGGGAAGGGGAGTGCCAGCCGACGCGGCTCAGCTGGGATCCAGGTCACACCGACCAAGGAGGTACTGGCAGAAGGGGATATCGACAGCAGCGCTGAGGCATTTGCTGGCTCAGATGCAAAGGCTAGAGCCGCGCTTGGTGAGCGACATCCTGGAGTCAGACCGCATGTCGGCCCCAGTCACCTGCCCAAACCACCCGTTGCAGTACGAATGCAATGAGCCTGGCAAACCTCAGCAATCGCTGCCGACCCTGGTGGCCTATGAGGAGGCACGCGGATTCGTCATTGAAGGGGAACTGCCCAGCCCGGGGATGATTTATGACGTTAGAAAAGGGAAGTGGGAGCAACCGATTGCGAATGAGATAGAAGCAGCCATGGGACATCTGCGGGGAGCGACGGCGCACCCTGAGGTGACGGAACAGCACCGCAGAGCTGCCTTGGGAAGAGCCATGGATGTTAACGTGATGACGTGGCTACTGGAGACTATACGCATGCATCTGAAGGCGAAAGAGCTGCAGCGGGACATAGCGGCGAACGAACGAAACATGGAGTTCGAGACGGCCGAGTGGCACAGGAAGGTGCTGGCCAGAATGGAGGAACGATACGAGGAGCGAGTGGAGGAAGGGTGGGTGTACATGGCGCTGGAAGGGACAGGGGATGGGACCGACGACAAGACAGCTGCTGTGGAAGAGAAGACAAGGAAGGAAGAAAGGGGCCTGGAAGAAGATTGGCCCCTAGGAGAAGGGATGGACAGAGCAACTGCGGCAGCAATGCTTGAAGTACTGCGGCATCACCGGGAAACCTTCGCTTACATGCTGCTGGAGCTGGGAAAGTGCAAGACCCATGAGATGAAGATCGAGCTTAACAGTGAAGTCACAATATACCACCGGAAGCGCCGGATGAGTCCGGGAGACATAGATATCTGCACGGAGAAGTGCGAGAAACTGATGGCGGCGGGGTTGATTCAGTGGTCAGAAAGTGATTACGCCGCGGCAACGGTCGTGGCTTCGAGGAAGGACCTGACGAGGAGGTCTCAGCAAGGGGGATGTGTGGGGACTACCGAGGATTGAACAAGGTTACAGTAGCGGACCGGTACCCTATGCAGTCGGCTGAAGAGATTTTTCATGAATTACAAGAAGCCAAGGTGTTCGCGACCCTGGAACTACACCAAGGATTCAACCAGATCCCGATTCGACCAGCCGTCAGCAAGAAAACTGCGTTTCATAGGCCGGACTGCTTATACGAATGGAGGTTTATGCAGTTCGGGATGAAGAATGCGACGGAGTTGTTCCAACGCATCATGGACACTGTTCTGCGATGAGTTCCAGCAGCGGCATGCTACATAGACGACGTTGTGGTTTTCAGCCCCGACGCGGAGCAGCATGTGAAAGACGTGAGACACGCTGGATGCAATTCGAGGGGCCGGTCTCACCTGCCACCCAAAGAAATGCAGCTTCGGCAACATGGCAGTGAAATACCTGGGGTTCGAGGTGCAAGGGGGGAGACTGGGGATCCAACAGGCAAAGGTGGAAGTCTTAGATCGAGTGCCGCAGCCGAAGGACAAGAGCACGCTGCGGGCGGTGCTGGGGTTCCTCAACTATTACAGGAAGTTCATACCCAATTTCAGCAAGTAAGCGGGGGTCCTGAACGGATTGCTGAGGGAAGACCAGAAGTGGCAGTGGGGAGAAGAGGAGCAAGAGGCTCTGAGGGCTCTGCTGAAAGCCGTGAAGACTGCCAGTGTATTGACACTGCCCAACAAAAAAGACCTGTTTGTGCTCTATACTGATTGGAGCAGTGCGTTGATGGAGGCAATTCAGTGCCAAAAGAGGGAGGGCGAAAAGAAGGTAGTGGCGTTTGCTAGCCAGAGTTGCAATCCCGCAGAGGCTAATTACAGTACTTATGAAGCGGAGAGGCTGGCGGCTGTTTGGGCAATTACGCACTTCTGAGTGTACTTGCAAGGGAGAGCATTCGAGCTAGTGACAGATCACCAGCCGTTAACCTGGCTGATGACGAATCACGCTTTGACTGGGAGGAATGCCCGTTGGGCAATGCGCCTACAAGAGTACGACTTCTCGATTTGAAACAGGGCGGGCAAGACAATGCAGCATGTCGACGGGCTCTTCCGGAATCCACCGACTGACAGGCCTACGACGTGCCTGGTGGCATTGGCAAGAGAGATAGATGAGGGGGCCAGCCGGACACGGAGAACGGGGCCAGTGGACGTTTGGGACGATTAGGAAGTCATGGATTGTGTGCAAGGGAAGACAACAAAGACAACTCCAGTGAGCGAGAGAGCCAGGGCACACGTGGCCCATTACCGTTGGCACCAAGATCAGCTGCAGAAGAACACGCATAACGGGTGGAAGTTGGTACCGAGGAAGAGTGAGCGAGAGCAGATCATACAGAGTGTCCATCGGCAACTGGGACACTATGGGAGCTTGAGGACCGCGGAACTGGCGGAAACCGGCTGGTGGTGGGAAGGGATGATGAA